CTGAGCTTCAGCCTTTATTCTCTCGGGGCAATAAAGAAGGATGGAACATGGGCAGATCTTAAAAAAAAAAAAAAATCAGCCTGGCAGGAGCCAGGGGCCTGGGCTGGAGGGACTGAGATGAGTACTGACCTTGGAGATACACTCCCTGGGCTGAAGTCTCAGCCCAGTTACAGGGTGCGTCGAGGGGGGCAGGCTCCAGGCTCTTTCAGTGCCTCTGTTTTCTCATCTGTAAAATGGGCTTGCTATGACCAGTACCCACCTTGTAAGGTTGTCTCACGGATTAAATGAGATAAGGAGCCTAAAGCCTTTAGCACAATGTCTAGTACATTAGTGCTCCATGATTAGGATCATTTTTAGAATTAATCTTGGAGACCAACTAGAGGATTACTGCCATAGCCTGGGTGGGGGCAGCAACAAAAAGACCACTGTGGGAGGAGTAGGCACGCAGAATCAACTGGGCTCAAGTTTGCCTGGGGGAGGGCAAGAGAAAGAGTCAAAGACAACTTCTGGACTTCCAGCCTGGGTGACTGGGTAATGGGGGTGATGATACTGAAATAAGAAACTCTGGGCAGAAAGTTTCGGGGGAAGGAAAAGTCAGTTTGATACATATTAAGTTAGAAGCGACGGTGTAGAGGTGCTAGCCAAAATGGTGCCGTGCAGCAGGCAGCGAGAAGCGTGGTTTGGGGCTGAAGTTGTGGAGCTGAGAATGAGAAACCATGAAGGGAGGGCTGTGCTGGGAGAGGATGGATCAAGTGCCTGTGTGCCCAGTTTGGCTAAGGCAGCCCACAGTGTTAAGCATCTTGGGCCGGCCCAGCATCCTGTTTGAACAGGCTGGGGCCTCTCTTAGCTTGGGGACCATGTGTATTCTGCTTGGTCAGCTGTGCCACTTGGATTCTACCTTTGTCCTTCAGTTTATGTACTTTCAGCTCAAATGCTGACCTGGCCCAATCCTGCTTGCCTTGTGAGCCTTGATGGGGTCAAAGTCCCCCTGGGGTATAGAGCAACAGGCGGACACTTGGTTTTATATTTGATAAAATGGAGACACCTAGTATGGGCCGAAGGGGAGGGGTGTCCCAGGTGTCTTGTGCCTGGTGTCTCTGATCTGATCCTCTACAAGGGCCCACCGGGTTCCAAGGCTCCCACGTTCTCAGCTGCTCCCTGGAGTTTCAGGGCAGCTTTTCTCCCTCTCTCTTCCACATGCAGCTATCCAGAGAACTCTTGGCTCAGGACTCCCTGGTCATTATTAGGGGCCCACAGATTAATCAGACAACTTAACCTCTGTCAATATTTTACCTTCTCACTTGTTCTCTCAGTACACTAAGTGCTACCAGCCATTTCAGGCCCACGCTCTGGGCCAGGTGTGGGAGATAATGAAGATGAAAAGACAAGGCTATACCTGCAAGACCTTGGGCCACAATGCACTCAATCATGGTGAAGGCAATTTCAGGCAGGACTGTCTGGAGGTCCGTGAAAGCACACCAGATTTGGGGTGTGTGTGTGGCACCTCATTACATCTGTGCACAGGGCTAACCCACCCCCCTTCCTACCAGAAACCACTGCATCAAAACATGCACATACATAATTTATTTACCTCTCCATTCTCTAGCATGTCAGCCAGGGGTCAGGGCAAGAAAAAGAGAAAGGAATAAAATGAGTGGAAGCATGGAAAGGAAGGGCTCAGCTGGTTAAAGACTTCTGATTATAGTCATTAATGCTCAAGAGAGTTCCAACCTGATGCGGCATTAAATGGGCAGATTGAGTGTGTGTGTGTGCGCGCGCGCGTGTGTGTCTGGACAAAAGTGTATTAGAACGAGACATTCAGATAAAGTGGCCAGTCAGTGCGGGAGTTGGGACAACCCTTCGTCCAGCTGGTTATCTAACACACCTGACGCTGATTTGCTTCGATTTGCTTCCGGATGGGCCGTGCAAGGAGGAAAGCCAGGGGAATGCAAATATTACCATTAAGTGTGCTCAGTTCAGAGCAGCCTGACTGCCCTGCAAAGTTCTCTCATTATAAATTCTGTTGGCTCCCGCGGTGGAGGGCCGGGACTGCTACAGAAGCTCTCTGTTGGAGAAGCTGGATCGTGTGCTTTGCAGGAACACACCACGGCAACAGAATTTAGGGTTAGCCTATTGTTTCTGGGCTCCTTGTCCAAACTGAAAGTGTATTTCAAGCAGGGATTAGGAGGTTGTTGACAGAGATCACTGGTTGCAAGGCTAATAATCTCAGGGCGCTCAGAAACGCTCCGTTTACTGCAGCGACATCCTATGGTCAGAGGAAGCAGTGCATGTTTTCGTGGAAAAGCCGCCTGTGGGTTCTGTCTAGGGAGTTACTTTTTTTAAAGTAGGGTGGATGAGGTATTATTATGTTTACTAACGCCTGTAAAACAACGCCGTGGCTGCAGCCCTAGGAATTCACTTCCTTCATCTTTGGATGATATTTATGATATTCATAATTGGATGCTGATCATATTTTATGAAAACCATGCAATTACCTCTTTCGGATTTTTTTTTTAATAACATCATGACTTTGCATCTATTTTAAAGCTTCTTGTTGAAGCTCTGGGTATCTATTATCAAGAAGGTTTCCATACCAGGGAAAGATGATCAAGTTTATCCCCAAGCACCCACTTCTAGGGTCTCTTACCCCAGTGTAGAGTATCGTGGTTAAAAAAAAAAAAAGAATTATAGTAATCACTGCTGATTGTTGAGATGAACCACTCACAGCTGGTACAAGTGTAAACTTACAACCTTTCTGGGGTGGAAAGTTCATTAAGAGCATCAGAATTATTTTTATATTTTTCATAATTTAAGTAGGCTCCACATTGGACGAACTCATAAACCTGAGATTAAGACTTGAACTGAGATCAAGAGTCAGATGCTTAAGCAACTAAGCCACCTAGAGGCCCCAGAATTATTATTATTATTTTTAAAGATTTTAAAAAAAGATTTTATCCATCCATTCATGAGAGAGAGAGAGAGAGAGGCAGAGACACAGGCAGAGGGAGAAGCAGTCCCCTGACATGGGACTCCATCCCTGGTCTCCAGGATCAGACCCTGGGCTGAAGGTGGCGCTAAACCACTGAGCCACCCGGGCTGCCCTCCCAGAATTATTTTTATCTTGTGCACTGTTAGTCGATTTGTAGGAATATAGCTGAAGGGTGTCATCACAGATGTGAAAAAAAAATACAAGGGTTTTTACTGCGATGTTATACTGAGGAATGAGAAATAGCCTAAATATTTAAAAACTGAGAAATTATTATTTATGGCACAATGGAGACTGAAGCTATGCAGCCACAAACCAAGGAATGCTTAGGGCAACTAGAAGCTGGAAGAAACAAGGGAGAATCCTCCCCTACAGCCTTCAAATGGGGCATGGCCCTGCCAACACCGTGATACTAAAATTCTAGTCAGCAGAACTTTGCAAGAATAAATCACTGTTTGAAAAAAAAATTATTTGGAGCACCTGGGTGGCTCAGTCCGTTAAGTGTCTGCCTTTGGCTCAGGTCATGATCCTGGGGTCCTGGTGAGCCTGCTTCTCTCTCTGCTTCCCTCCCTCCCTCCCTCCCTCCCTCCTCTCTCTTTCTCATGAATAAATAAAATCTTAAAAAATCTATGGGACATCCATATGGTGGAATGTTATGGTGTTATGGTGTTATGTTATTTAAAAAGGCATTCTCAATATTTGATGGCCTGGGGCAATATCCATTATATAATAAATGAAAAACAAAGGATATTAATTTTTATATATGGTGGGAACACATTTTATAAAAAAACCTCCCATATACATGTATTATATATATTTATGCACACACACAAACATGCAGAAAAACTATTAATCATAGTGCATAGGTGTTAGGTTGATAAGTAATTATTGTTTTTTATACTTTTCTGTATGTCCCAAATTTTCTATAATCTATATGCATTTACTTTTTTATTGTGGTAAAACATTCATACTACACTTGATCCTAGCCAAAAGGCCAAGAAGTGAATGTGGTGAAACATTCATAACATAAAATTGATCATTTTAAAGGTCATTACTTTTAAAATTAGGAATAATGGGAGTGCATGAGTGGCTCATTCAGTTAAAGGTCTGCCTTCAGCTCAGGTCATGATCCCAGGGTTCTGCTCAGTGGTGGTGGGGGTGGGGTGGGGGGGGAGGGTAACCTTCTTCCCCGCCCCTATGCCCTCTTTCAAATAAATCTTTTTTAAAATTAGGAATAATAGGTTTTGTGAAGAGATGGGCACTAAGCAGGTGCTAAACTTACACCTACATTATAATCACAATATGTGACCGTCATTTATTTGTTTGGAGAAAAGGACAAGAAAAGAATACAACCCAGACAGATGAACTTTGATGGATTAGGGCACAGAACAGGTGGGGTGGGGTGTGTCATTGTGATGTGTATTATTCTGAAGGCAGTTTTTCTTTATAGGTTGAGATTGGTCGTTTCAGACTTTTTAGTGCTGAGGAGGGTGAGGCCCAAGCCTCACCAAGAAAGATGCAAGGGGAAGAAGCCGGTGGGAGGTGGGGGCGGGCGGGTAACTGAGCCAGCAGAGGGACAAGTTAGAGACTGCAGGCAAACTCAGCTGGGACTGATCACTTAGAATTGGATTCAACCGAATTATGATCGGTAGTTCTTGGCTGACTTTGGTTCTTTCTAGTCCCTTTCACTGAGACCACTTTAGGAAGAGAGGAAAGAAAAGTGGGCCTCATCTGGAGGCTTCATCAAATACCTAAAAAAGCCGGGTATGGGAATAGGGAGGCTGCTTGGGCTGGAACCAGCAGCCCTGAGGTTAGCAGCAGAAATGCCCCGGAGTTGGGAGGTGCGGGGGTGGGGTTTGCATCATATTTGTGTAGCCTTTATGAGCTCCCTGGAAACCTGGCGTCATTCAAGGTCACTGTTCTTTGCAATCACTATGGCCTGCAAACACGCCAAGGCACCCCTCCTACCTGATGCCCCCCCCTACCCCTCCCGCTCCCCCAGATAACTCCTCACCTGCATCTTTCTCTTCACTGTGTCGAAAGGAAAGGAGAGTGTCTGGGTTACGGCAGCGGCCAGGCAGACATTGGCAAAGTTCTGGAGGGGAGAGAACCGATCTCGGGGTCCGTTCCAGAGTTTCTCCAGGTTTATGTAAACTAGAAGGGAGCCAGCGGAGAAGGGGAGAGCACCTGCAAAAAGAAGGAGGAAGGCTCCAGAAATGGGCTGCTGTCACCTCGGGTGCCCCTGGCTTGAGAACCTAAGCGCCTGGCTCTGGGCTCATTAAAAGCACTTTGGCCAGAGCAGCCAGAAGCAGCTTTTCTTCGCTGGTAATAATGTGCTCCGTTTTAATAGGGGATGTGTTATTGGCCAAAATGCATCAAATGGTTCACCAAAAGTTTGTGTGCTTTACTGTGTGTAAAGTTTATGTTACAAAGAACCACGGATATTGAATTCTAGGTAATGAGACACATGTTGAGTGGCTGAGGGGTGAAATGCATTGATATTTGGAAATTATATGGAAATTATCCAGAAATCAGTATGATGGACTGACTGATGAATGGCCAGAGAGGGATGGACACATACATGACAAAGCAAGGCGTTAACTGGAGCATCTGGATGGTGGGCATGTGGGTGTTTCTGAATCTTGTCCTTCTTCTGGGTGGTAAAAATTCTAAAAAATAAAATTTTGGGGAAAAAATCGCTGCCATAAAGAAAAAGTCTGCGAGTGGTATTTTTCAGATTTTGGATGCTGGGAGGGACTGGTTTCTGGCTGAGAAGGAAGCGTTCTGTGCGGACTAGAAAGCGAGACTGTACTGGTGAGGGAGGGCACTTGACCTTGCTTTTGGGAATGATGTGACCATATCAGGGCCCAGGGGGCCACCCTACAATGCGTGGCATGCTCACCTTTCCCAGGAAAAGATGGCGAGCCAGCAGTGCAGTAGGTGGCCCTTTTAAGAAACTTCTAGAAACTTTGGGAGCTATCTTAAGTTTACAGCGGGTCTAAATTTCTCTCTTATGAGAGATGAGATTTAAAAGAGGGGTTGCTTGTCTTTAGGAAAACATAGTATGTATTTAATAAACACATTACAAGTGAAGTACCCCCCCCATTTACCTTCATTCAAAAATTATTTGTGGAGTTTATGTGATGTGCTGGGCCCTATGTCAGTTGCTAGGAATACAATGAGGAGTAGGCTAATTCCTGGAGATGCTCACCATCTAGTGGAGGAGGCAGACAGACGATATGTGCTATAATGGGGTGGGGGTGGGCAGTGGCTATACAAAGTGCTTTAGGCACACGAGGATAAGGGGGATTAATTTTGCCTAGGGGAATCAGGAAGGACATCACAGAAGAGAGAACTTTCCCACTGGGGTTTTGAGGATTGAGTAGGAGTTTGCCAGATATCAGGAGAGTGGACAGGCTGTCCAGGCAGAGAGAACAGCAGGTGCAAAGGGATTGTTCTTTCCAGGAAACTGCAAGTTTTTCTATTTTGGCTGGTGCATGAGTGCAGGTGGAGGCGTGGCAGGAGATGAGGTGGGACAGGCTGGCCAGAGCCAGGTCTGAAGGCTCTGATGGTGTGCCATAAGGAATTTGGGCTTTTTCCTGTAGCTCGGGAGTTGGCCAGGGCTTTAATGGAGGACAGTGGAGTGAGGGTGGCGAAGTGACTGACGTGGGTTTAGAAGGGTCTCCAGGCCCCAGCAGCGGTGCACAGGGCGGTCTGGGGTAGGAGAGACCTGGGACTGGGACCAAGTAGGAAGCTCTCCTAAGGTCTGTGGGAAGGATGAGGGCAGAGGGGTTGGGGATGGGGGAGGGCCACAGACTGATAATGAAGAGGTCAGATTGACAGTACTTGGTGACTGAAGCCACAGCGGAGAGAGGAGAGGAGCTGAAGCGGGTCTAGGTTTCTTCCGGCTTGGGCCACAGGGTGAAGGGCCGGCGGTCTCACTCATTAGGGAACCCAGGAGGAGCAGGTGTGAGACTAACGAGGACATCAGGTTTAGTCTGGAGGAGTTGGATGCGCCAAGGGAGCAGCAGATGAAGGTGTCCAATAGCAGGTACTCATCCTGCCGTTGGGAATTGGTAGCAGTCAGTGGTTAAGTCAGAGGGCTCTGGGGTTACATTGCTAGGTTCTTCCACTTTCTATCTATATGATCTTGGGCAAGTCCCTTAGTTTTCCTAAGCAGCTCTTTCCTTGTCTGTAAGCTAAGGCTTAAATGACAAACCGTAGGCAAGGTGCTCAGCACAGTAGCTGGCACAGAGCAAGCGCCAATAAATGTTAGTCACCGTGGCTACAGGGTTGAGGCTGGGAGTCATTTGAGTATAATGATGCTTGGTTAAGCCACTAGCTTAGCTGAGGCCACCTGGGGAGGGTAGGGAGGGTGAAAAGAAAGCTAAGGAAGGAGCCTGAGGACCCGTGAAGGGAGTGGCTGGCAGCATCAGATGAGCCAGATAAGACAGCTGCCAGAGAGGTGCGAGACACATCCAGAAGATGCTGGGGGTCCTAGAAGCCAAGTTTCCAGAAGAAGGGGTGGTCAGTCTCATCAAATGCTACAAGAGATCAGATATTGGGTGAGAGTCTGCCGGGTTTGTCAACTAGGGACTGGGGTGACTTGTGCATGTGTAGTCCTGGCAAGGCTTCCAGAGACTATGGAAGCCACAGTTGCTACCCTGGTTGTGCTCACACGGGTATGTATGCACACTGAGACTCCTTCCCGCAGTCAGATGGGATGTGGAGGATTGTCTTCCTATCAGTTTGGGCTGGAGACACCTTCACTCTCTCTCCACTCCTCCCCTCCCTGGGATGTGATGAGCCAAAGTCAGGAGTGGGGTACATGGCTTTGGAATAAAATGAAGCTAATTGGCTCTACGTGGATTGAATCCATATGACCTTGACCTTAAAAAACTGGTTTGTAACCAGTTAAATGGGTATACAAGGTATACAGTATTCATATTTATCAACACAACATTTCCTTAGGTGAAAAGTTCCATCTTACCTAGAACAGTAAGGGAAACCCCTCGATAAAGGGCTAGGAACCCTTCCTGTTGATAGACAGTAGAAAAAGCATGGAGGATCCCTCTGTAAGATGGTTCCAGCAGGTTCTGCACAATCAACCGGGTTTTGATGAGGTCTGTGGGGTACATCACAATGGTAGACACCATGCCCGCAAGACTCCCAGCCATGATGGAGCTCCACTGGGAAATATGGCCCAGGTCATCCGTGAACAGCATGACAAATCTGGGAGAAAATAAAAGGGAGGGGGGAAGACCAAGAGAATCAGCTATGGGTTGGGCTAGAGTGCCCTATGACTACTTATTGCAGTGCCTCCCAGTATTTTGAAATGGTTTACAAAGTGAAAATTATTGATGTATCAAGATTAATGAATAGCACGTTCAGTTCTACATTTATAGAATTTTGTTAACTATAAGGAGATGCCCAACCCTCTTCTTTATGCTACCCTGAATTCTTCCTGCTTCGTTTTAAGCATTTCCCCCTTTATCTGTATAACTGCTAACCCTGGCTTGCTGGTGGGGTATAAATGAATAGGAGCACTTAGTAAATACTGAATTAGAACGTGCTCCTTTGGTTCTGTTGAACTTAAATGAAACCGTTTGAGATGATGACTTTGAGCATCCTCAGTAATTGAGGCTTTTTTTTTTCAAAGTAAGTTCAACATGGGGCTTGAACTCAACCCCGAGATCAAGAGTCTCATGCTCTACGTACCCCACATAATTAAGTTTAAAAATGTACTGGTTTGGGCACTGGGTGGCTCAGTTGGTTAAATGTCTGACTTTGGCTCAGGTGGTAATCCCGGGGTCCCATTGAGCCCTGTGTCGGGCTCCCTGCTCAGCAGGGAGTCTGCTTCTCCCTCTCCCTCTGTTCCTCCCCTCACCATCCTGGCACCTGTGTTCTCTCAAATACATAAAATCTTTAAAAAATGTATTGGTTTAAAAGTGCCACCCTACTAGTCTGGGAAATGACAAATAAAAATAAGATACCATTTCTCACCGAGCAGACTGGTAAAGGTGAAAAAAGTCTGATAATATCAGATGATGGGGAAGTCATGTGTTAGACAGGAATGCTCACCCACTGCTGCTGGAAATGTGAATTGGTACAGCCCCTTTGAAGTATCTAGCACAACTGAAAGAATTCCTCCTTTCATCCTAGCAATTCCATTTCCAGGTGCATATCCTAGAGAAGCCCTTGCACACATACATGTGAAGATATATACAACATTGCACGTTAGTGTGAAAAGTCTAAAAGTCCATTCATAGGGGAATGGATAAACTATAGTCATACAATGGATACTATGGTTAAAATGAGCTTGTGACTATGTATTCATACGGATAATCATGAAAGTATAAAGTCAAGTGAAAAAAGCAAATTGCAGGGTGACCTATAATGTATGACAACCATTTATATAAACCATTTATATAAATTAAGAAACACACCCATAAAAGCATACATTATATTAATTGTGGACAGCTATAGCTACATATTTTTTTGAAAAAGTGTAAAATAGACCTCCAGGAAGGTGGCGGGGGGAAGGGGCTGGGAATAAGGACCTCAGCTTTCTCCAGAATCTTTTATTTCTTGTATTAAAAAAGCTACTTGAAGTATCTTTTATACTGTCTTCCATGCTGTTTCTTCTGGATGGTGGGTACAGGAGCACTCTTCTTTGCATTTCTCTACAGTTTTGTAATGTGGTCAGAATTGGCTTTGTGTGGATTTTTCCAAACGCAAGCCAGAAAGTCACTCTGTTACAGTCCCCTTTTTTGGAAGCAGCGTGTCCCCAGTCATGAGGACCTACCTTGGCAGAAATTGTTATAAGGGTACTTTTACATGGCACACATTCCCTGCCCAGGAAGCAAAGGAATTTTACTCCTTGCCTACGAGGACAAAAACAAGAAGGGCTTGGAAACCAGGAAAAACAATATTTTCTACCAGAGAATGGGGTAGGAGAGAGGGAGAGGAATAGCAAGGGATGTGAATAAAAGAAAGTGATCAGGGCTAGGTTAGAAGACAAGCATCTTTTTGTTGATTTTTTCCAAGATTTTATTTATTTATTTGAGAGAGAGCAAGCACAAGTGGGGTAGAAGGGCAGAGGCAGAAAGAGAAGCAGGCTCCCCGCTGAGCAGGGAGTTGGGCGTGGGGCTCGAGCCCAGGATCTTGGGATCATGACCAGAGGCAAAGCACCCAGGTGTCCTGTGTCTTTTTAAAAATGAGACCGTCTCCAGTTGTTTGGCTTTCAAATCTCCCATGAAGAGGTGTGTCCTCCTTTAGCCTGGCAGGAAGCTAGGACCCTCTGCGTGATAAATAAGACAAGTGGGTATTCAGGTGAAATCATAGAAGGGGTCCTAGGACAGTTTCTTTGCTCCCAAGTAAATACTCATTGACTAAAATCCTCTCCTTAGAGGTGCCTGGGTGGCTCAGCTGGTTAAGTGTCTGCCTTTGGTTCTGGTCTTGATCCCAGGGTTCTGGTATGGAGCCCTGTGTTAGGCTCCCTGCTCAGCAGGGAGCCTGCTTCTCCCTCTGCCTCTGCGGGCACCCCCCCCCCCGCCCACCCACCTTGTGCTTACTTGCTTACTCTCTCTCAAATAAATAAATAAAATCTTGTTTTTTAAAAAAAGCATCTCTGGGCGCCTGGGTGGCTCAGTTGGTTAAGTGTCTTCCTTAGGCTCAGGTTAAGATCCCGGGGTCCTGGCTCCCTGCTCAGTGGGGAGTCTGCTTCTCTCTCTCCCTCTGCCCCTCCCCACTGCTAGTTCTCTCTCAAAAATCTTTTTTTTTTTTAAAGGAAAGCATCTCCTTCAAGCTGTGGGAAAGTCTTCAGTTCATTTTGTCAACCTACTATTGACTACTGTTAACTGCACTAATTGAAACAGCCATAAAAAAAAATCAAAACAATCACGAGTTAACCAGCTACCTTTGAAAGATGCAGGTAACTAAAGCAGGCATTCACCAATGGGCCACTGGCCTGTTTCACTGCCTGAACACTTCCTTCTTCCTCCCTTTTCTCTCCCCTGGCCGGTAGAGCTGGAGGGGGACATGAGGAGGGGCAGGGGAGACAGGGGCATGCTGGACCAGAGGGGCGGTCTGCAGCAACCTGGAACAGTCTAGATGATGGTGGGACCTAAAAATGCCAAAAGAAACACCCAATTCATTCTCTTCGCCTTGCCCTATTCTCTATCCCACCTGGCCACTTCTGGGGCACGAATGATTACCCATTTATCGAACATCTACAATATACCAGACACAGTGCTAGCACTCAGCATAGATCATAACAGAGCTCAACAGTCCTGCCAAAGCAGTGGTGGAGAGGGGCAGTGGGAGAGGACAGAGGCCCCTGGTTCACTGCACGACTTGATAGACTAGGAATAGGAACCTTATATTAGGTTGGTTTATAAGGTAGGGTCTTGCTATCAAATATACAAAATTCAAAAGAACCAGAGAAAGGCCTTTCTTCTAGACTCTTATCTGATAGAGACAAGGACTACCAACCCTTCCCCTTAGAATTGCAGAGTCAAGGCAAGCAACCCTGATAGGCCATCAGTGACATCCTCCTGGGCCCCATGTCTTAAGCTCTTGTCTTATTGGCTGGGTCAGCAGTGTTCCCCTTTCTGCTCTTCTCCCCAGCACCCTGTCCCCTACTTGCACAGAAGCTTTTCCCAGAGAGACTGGATAAGCTGATGAACAGCAGTAACCCCTTCCTTTGAGGCACAGGGTATCACACGTGCCTTGGGTATATGCACTTAGAACTGCCAACACTTCAGCCTAACACAGCTTAGCAGCCAAACACAAGCTCATGAAGTGGTTATATAATAGGAAAGTGGTGCTGGTTATGAGCTATTCCAGAGCCGCAGGGACCCAAGCCAATGTTATACAGCTAGACAGGCAGTTGTGGAGAAAAGTTGGATGAGGATTTACTGGTTGATGTATTTGAAAGCCATCCACTGTTGCATACTATTTATTGCAAGGGTCTAGCTCCTAATAGACTCTACTGAGTGGACTTTTGATCCTAAATCCAAGTGAGAGGACATGTCAGTATCACAATGCTGGGCAGAGCCCTGGACTAAAAAGCCAGAAGACCGGGTTTCAAGCTCCAGTGCTGCCATTAATTCTATGTGGGGACAAGTCAATTAATCACTCTATTTCCTGAATATTCTAGACGTTTATGCTTTGTTCAAAATCCTGACCATAGGCTATACCATTACCCTCAGCCAGCTGTTTTTGCAAACTCCTGGCCAGTAAAGAGGAGAGATGAGTCAGTATGATGATGGAGCAAAGGCATCATCTTTACCTAGGAAAGATGGCCCCATGATTGATCAACCACTTTGCTTTCTATGCCTAGCCATTCATTGATATACTCCCTTTTCATTTCTGGAAGGAACATAATCTCGCAGGAAACATTAGCAAACTCAGGCCAAGGAACTCTTTCTTCCTCTCCCAGTCACCAGCCTCTGTCAGGTGCCCTCAGTTGCCACATGGACCAGCACAACAGGTTCCTAACTGGCCCTGCCCCACCCCCCCAGTCTTCCTCCTACTAGTTGCCTTACCCTGCTACCAGGTGACGTAATTCCTATTGAGTTGCTTTAATCACTCCCCACTCCCACCACCTCCTCAAAAATCTCCCACAGCTAACCTTGGCCATACTGAACCAAGCCCAAACTCCTTCACCTGGCCCTCGGAGATCGCATTCCAATCTGCTTTTCTGGCTGTACCTTCCCATTGCTGCTGTGGGCACACCTCGTGTTTCGGTCAGGCTGCATGCCTTCGCGTCTCTGTGCCTTGGCTCATGACAATACCTGCAATCTGTGCCCGGAAAACTCCTATTCATTTTTCCCCGACCAAACTCAGGTGGTTTTTTTCTTCTGTGAAGTCCTCACCTCTTCTCCTCCTCATCAGAAGTGTGAATTTCTTGTTGTTTTTAAAAAGATTTTATTTTTTTCCAAGTATAAAATGCCCCACAAGGAGAATTTTATTGATGGCACTAGTTTATTTCCCTCTTAAAAGACCAACTGCAGCCAAATGAAGTGAACATAACCTCAAGGTTTTATTGTCTTCATAACAAAATGTGAAGCTTAGAACTGGATCACTTGGCCCTTTCTTTTATCTCCTCCCAGCTCTAAATGCTTGTATCTCTTAATAGCATTCTCTTAAGATCTGCAGTTAGGCTCAACACATTCAAGCCTCAGCACAATCTTCTTTGTAATTTTAGCTTTTTTTCCGGAAAATCGGCTTAGTCGGCCCACCATGGCCACCCTGCTTCCTGTCATAATGCCGCTTTCCCTGGACATAAAGAGAATCTCTGCCTTGTACTGTGTCACTTTGTGGGGTTGGTGCTTGCCATACTTCTTGCAGCAAGTCCGGTGGTTTTTAGGAATGTTCACCGTGTTTGCGACAGTGCTGTCGGCACAGAAAGCTAAAGACTATTTTTAAGTGAGCTCTACACCCAATGTGGGGCTTGAACTCACAAGTCCAAGATGGAGTTGCATGCTCTACCTACTGAACCAGCCAGGGGCTTCAGAAGTGTGAATTTCTGTAGCACTTTGGCCACATGCTGTTGTCTTCTAGTCCTCTATAAGCCCTGGGGCACAAGGACCATGCCCCTTCCATCCTGGCATTGTCCCCAGTGTCATGCCTGCAGGGGGTACTTAATGAAGTCTGGCTATGTTAATATCAAATGAATGTGAGAGAAAAGCAGCAAGATGTAGTAGAGTAATGGATTTGGAGGCAGAAGGTCAGGTGATGGGGCTTTAAGCCCCATCCCCGAGGAGTGGTGTGGATGGTCTGGCCCAATTCTGCATCTGTAAAAGGGGCATGATACTTCCCACCCAATGAATCTTACAGGGCAGGAGTTGTAGAAATCCAATGATGTACACACCCGTGTCTGTGCATGTGCATGCGCACACACACACACAAGGGTAAGTATGTACAGGTGATGGCTATATTGATTAGCTTGATTGTGGTGATCATTTCACCATGAATATGCATATCAAAATATTAAGTCGTACACCTTAAATATATACACTTTTTATATGTCAAAGATGTCTCCATAAGGCTGTTAAAAAAATCCAATGATGTACATATACTAAGTGGTATTGGGGCCAAAGGCAGGCCTCCCCAAGGTAGGCAACAATGGCATGTAGATTATTTTGAGCTGAAAACAATCAAGACCCAAGACTCAGGCAGAAACTCTGACCTCCCCGTCAATTGCCTAAAAAGCATTTAGATACAGGATCTGCTTCAGGAAGACAGTGATCATAAACAACACGCGAACTAGGGGTGGTAGACCGAGAGGGATTTAGCAAAGTCTGTTAAAATTCCACTCTAGGTCCTCTTGTTTTTGAGTGGCCCAGCAAACACTTGTTTACCAAACATTGACTCTTTTTCATCCCACTGTGGGTTGCATTCCTTCCCTTTGAAGTCCCAGACCCCCACCTCCTCCTCCTCAATTCAGAATGACACAGAGACCTCATTTTGCCATCTTTGGAATCTCGTGTGCATGTGTGCGTGCACATATCCCCCACAGGGTAGGAAATTGTTTGATTTTCTCCTGTTAATCTGTCTCATGGCAATTTAATTCTTAGGCTAGAAGAACCTTGGACAGAGGAAAAGCTCTTCCTCCCAGACAGTGATAACCAGAACAGCCGTGTACTTAAACTGGCCCGTAAAGTTCTGCCTCCTAATCCTACTTGGTATACATTCCAAAGGAAGATTTTCATAATACTTTGTGGAGAATAGGGGGAAGAGGGGAGAACTGTTTACAGACATCATCAGGCCAGATGTGGCTGAGGAGGAAAGAGAGCCTTGAGGCAAATGCCCCAGGATCTCACCACCTTTCTTCTCCACGGGAAGAGAAGAGAACTTCTCCCAAGCCTGGGAAATTTGTGCTGGCCTTGAGGGCTCAGTGAGGAGGAGGATTCCATCTGGCTTGTCAGATGGGGGAACCTTCCAGCACCAAAGGTGAAAATCCTAACTGTTAACCTCCAAGGCTTGAATTAGGTGAAGACAGTGAATTAGACTCTAATTCAAAGCCAAGGCCAGTCTTCAGAGTTGGCACTGTGCCCACGGACCATTCCCCCCAAGCACAGAAACTTCACTCTTCCTCAAGTTCCATCAGTACCGTTTCATTCTTTTACGCTTGTTTTCAGTTAAAATGCAAATATCTCTGAGCTCTGAGGAATCTTTGAAGACTCAGCTGGCATTTGCATATTTAGATAGTTTCCAAAGGAGCAGCTGGGTTGAGAGAAGGTGAAAAAAGCACAAAGAATGAGGCCAGTGTGGGTAGAGGGTAGGGTGAGGCTAAGTAAGTTGAGGGACCTGTTTGCAGCCTCCATTTGGGCCCTAAAGGCAAAGCTTCATTGGTGGGAGGCGGGGTGGTTGGGCAGAAACCTGTGGCCTTCTGCGGCAATCGTTGGGCCCTCTCCCCCCACCAAGCACTTTCTGGGGGTTTGCTCACAAAGGTACAACCGCACATAGAGACCTTCCAAGGGGTCTCTCTCTCTCCTAAGTCAGCCAAGGCAAAGTTTCCAAGTTAGTGGACGGTGGGAATGGTCAGGAGCCATCTCTCACTCCTTCCCCCCGAATCTCCTTTTGCGCCATTCTACCTCCTCGCCCGTGCAACTCTGGTGAGCGTCTCTGGGCCGGGGCTGCGTCCCACAAAACCGCACCGGGCGGGGCGGGGAGCTCCGAAGTGCACCCCGGGGCCTGCGCAGGTGCCGCCTCCTGGCCACACTGCTCGGAGGGGGCTCGCGCGCGCCATCCGGAAGGAGGCTGCGGCCCCCCTTGGGGCCCCAAGCTCGAGCGGCCCCCACCTCCCACCCCGCGGCAGCCCCCTGTGGCCTCCCGGCTCCGCCCGGCCCGCTGCTCGGCTCTTACTTGCGGTAGGCGGCGAGCTGCAAGGCGCTGCAGGGGAAGAGGCGCAGGCAGGCCACCGCGTTCCCCTTCCACAGGGCGCGGGGCCCCTCGGCGCGCCACACCCGGAGCCCCGCGGCCCACGGTCCCCGGGCCGGGCCCCGCGCGCCACCGACCTGGGCCAGCACGGTGGCGAGCTCGAGCGGCGCGGTGACCGTGAGGCTGAGCGCCCCTGCCGCGCCCGCGCACAGCAGCCGCTGGCCGCCCGTCAGCCGGCCGTCCCGCCGCCACGTCGCCATCGCGCCCCGGCCGCCCGGCCCGGCCCCGGGGGACCGTGTGGCTGGGGCTGCGGCTCCCGGGAGCTCCCGGCCGACTCCGGCTCCCCGGCGAGGCGAGGCCGCAGATCGGGGCCCCGCCCGGTGTGGGGCGGGCCGCGGCCCGGACGGGAAGCCAGGTCCTCGCCCGCGCGGCCTCGGGCTGGGGCTGGGAGTAGGGGTGGGGGTGGCGAGGCCGCAGGGGGCCGAGGCCCCGCACCCACCGTGCTCCTCAGCCGGCGGGGTTCTGTTGCGCTCGAGAGGCGCCGTGCTCTCTGGCCCCGCCGGCTCCCTAAGTCTTTAGCGCCCCCGCCGCCTCCCCGCTCTTGTTTACCCCCCTTCTCCCTTTCCACATTCCACCTCGCCCTCTTCCTCCCCTGGCCGGGCCGGGCCCTCCTCCCTCCGACCTCTTAAATTCTGCCCCAAGAAGAGGCCGTGCCAGTTGCGCAGTGCAGAGGGGAAAAGAAACCTGTCATACAGGCCTGCTCCCTGTCACACTTGTCAAACGTCGGGCTTCCTGTGCATTATCTCATTTAATCCTCAAAGGAGCCCTTAATAGGTATGTCCTCATTTACTGCCCTCGTTTGGAGAGGCTGGAGGTGTGGCCTGGACTCTGGAACCTGCCTTAGCATCTTGGCTCTGCAGCTCACCAGCTGTGTGACCCTGGGGAGGTCACTCCAACCTCTCTCTCTGCCTCAGTCCCTCATCTATAGTTTCTTCCTCCAGGGGGTGGTTGTAGGGATTAAATGAACAATGACACAGGGAAGCACCCTTGGGTAGCAAGAATTTGCAGTTCCCTTCCTTGTCCTTCTACACTGATTAAGAATCAAATTGACATGAGACAGATTAACAGGAGAAAATCACAGGCGTGGAAATTCCAAAGACAGTCAGGCAAGACAAGGTATATATGTCATCCTGGACTCAGGAGAAGGCGGTAGGGGTCTGGGACTTCACAGGAAAATGCACTTCACAGGACAATAAGAAGAGCAGATTTTTGGGGCACCTGGGTGGCTCAGTGGGTTGAATGGCTGCCTTTGGCTCAGGTCATGCTCCCCTGGTCCTGGGATGGAACCCTGAATGGGGTCCGTGCTCCACAGGGGCCTGCTTCTCCCTCTGCCTGCTGCTCCCCCTGCGTGTGCACCCTCACTCTCTGTCTCTTTCTCTGTCAAATTAATGAATAAAATCTTAAAAAGAAGAGCAGATATTTGGCAATGAGATGTTTGCCCTGCCAGACAGGTGTGTCACTCAGATAAGATTTATCTCTGGTAATAACCTTTATCCTGGAAAAGACCCCGAATTTAGGCTCTTTTGTATACTTAAGGGAGGGACAAAAGTTTCTCCTGAGCTCCTGTGGTTGTGATTGCCTCAGCTCAATACAGTCCACATTGCCTAAGTGGCCCATCTTGGAACCGCCTGCCCTTGGTGCCTACAGCATGACGTGTACGTGTTAGCTATGATTAGCTACTATTTTGCAGAAGAGGAAACCAAAACAGGGAGCTTGACCTACTCTAGCTCACAGCTGCTAGGGGCATCCAGGATTCAAATCTAGGTCGATTTTGTGCCAACTAACAACTACGCATCCATTGTGACTGCGGAGTATAACTCAAGTAGGGACATCTTCAGTGGCTCTGTTAGCCTGAGAGGACAATGGAGGCACAAAAGGGCTGAAAGGAATTTGGCCAGAATCCAAGAAGAATTATGCTAAGTTAAAGAAGACTTCCAAGTGTCTCCCTCTTTTTGAAAAGCCACGTTGATAATAACAATGCAAAGGAAAGGGTCAGTTGGCAATCTGTGAGGATAAAACACTCAGGTACACAGTTGCTTTCACGCTTGTATAGTTATTTCCCACAATTTACTAACAGGTGGGACGATAAAGGAGCCTTTTCTAAAAGGCGTCATAGGGCCTTGATTGAGAGGGCTTGCTCTGCTCACAAAGTCTTGCTCTGCTCTCAGAGACTGGAGAACACTTTCTCTCTCTCTCTTTTTTAAAGATTTTATTCATTTGTTCATGAGAGACACACAGAGGTAGAGCCATAAGCAGAGGGAGAAGCAGGCAGTCTCCCTGGGGGGAGCCCAATGCAGGACTTAATCCCAGGACCTTGGGATCACCACCTGAGCTAAAGGCAGACACTCAACCACTGAGCCACCCAGGGGTGCCCCTAGTATAATATGTTAAATGCTCTGATGGAATTGAGCACAGGATGTTGTGGGGAGCACAGAAGAGGGACCCCAACCTGAGTTGGGAGGATGGAGGAAAGTATTCAAGAAGCCTTTTCTAGAAGGGCTTTAATGTGCCTCTGATTATCTTTTTTGTCTTTTTATCAAACTTATTTATACATGTATGTAGTTTTAAAAACTGAAATAGGGGGATCCCTGGGTGGCACAGTGGTTTGGCGCCTGCCTTTGGCCCAGGGCGCGATCCTGGAGACCCGGGATCGAATCCCACGTCGGGCTTCCGGTGCATGGAGCCTGCTTCTCCCTCTGCCTGTGTCTCTGCCTCTCTCTCTCTCTCGTGACTATCATAAATTAAAAAAAAAATAAAATAAAAAAATAAAAAAATTAAAAACTCAAATAGTTCTATAAGCTTTTTGTAAAAAAATATTTTATTTACTTATTCATGAGAGACGAAGAGAGAGAGGCAGAGACATAGGCAGAGGGAGAAGCAGGCTCCCTACAGGGATCCCAGGACCCTGGGATCACAACCTGAGCTGAAGGCAGACGCTCAACCATTGAGCCACTCAGGCGCCCCAGAACACTTTTCTTATTTTGTGACTTCTCCTGTCTTGCCATCAGCTAACCTCATGGCCGAGGGAGGCCAGAGAAAGGAGGATTATGACCGAGGACTTGAAGAGAGAGGCCTTGAACCGAACGTGGGGGGACAACAGTAAGGAAACTTTCAAGGAGCACTTTGTCCCTCAAGTTCTTTCAGGGTGCTCTGCCCTAAGAATGGCACAGTTGATGCGATAACTCCATTGTATGAAGATTGGCTCAACCCAGTGGTTTTTGTTTTGTCTTGAGGCAGCTTGTGTGAGGGTGTCAGCTGCACCCGTCCTGGCGACAGGGGATGGACATGCTTTTCTTTACACTGCCATTTTTTGTGTCCTTGGCAGGAATGAGATGCTCAGATGAGCCAGAGGCAAGAAAAACTGCTTTTCTGTTTCATAGCTGTGGGCCAGGAGAAATCCTGAGCTGATGGTTTTTTTTTTTTAAATATTTTTAAAAAAGATTTTATTTATTTATTTGAGTGAGAGAAAGCCAGAGACAGGGCATGAGTGGAGGGGGAGGGGCAGAGGGAGAGGGAGAAATAGGCTTCCAGCTGAGCTGGGAGCCCAACACAGGGCTGGATCCCAGGACCCTGGGATCATGACATGAGCCCAAAGTGGACGCTAAACCAAATGAGCCACCCAGGTGCCCCACTGATGGTTTATTTTAACCTAGAAGGTAAAAATGTACATATTTTTTTTCACTACAGGTACGTTGAATGGTAAATGAGTAATAGCAAGGTGTATATTTCACCTTCTATCTTTTCGTGATAGAACGCTAACAGAATGACGTGTGTTAATATTTTACTCAACCAGAGCCTCATTCGTTTACTAGCCATTGGGAGCATTATGTATATTGATCTTAAACATAAATCAATTCCTGACTGTGTCCCGTATTTGGACTGTGCCTTGTAGACTCAGGCTAACCTTACTGCTGCTTTTGCACATTTGGTGAAAAGTCTGTGAAGACACACAACTGGTTAAGGACCCACAACTTTGGAAAAGGCAGCTGATGTGAGAATAAATGTATAATTACTTTTAAAAAGTGAGGCAGGGGGCACCTGGCAGGCTTAGTCGGTACAGCATGGGACTCCTGATCTTGGGGTTGTAAGTTCGAGCCCCATGTTGGGTGCAGAGATTACTTTAAAATAACATTTAAAAAGGGGGCAGTTAGTAAAACAATCATTTAACATAAGGAGAAAGGTGGCTGGCTGATGAAAGGCAATAGGCAGCCTCCTGTCACCCTGGTCAGGCCCTGGGAGATGCTAAGAGTTTTAAATTCAACAACTGCCATTTTTTGCTTTCTCTTCTATATGATATCTTTTCTCCATTGTACTGTGAAAAAAAATTCAACCGAATAATTTTGAAAATCTAATTGGCTTTCTTTCATTCCTTTTTTTTTTTTGAGAGAGAGAGAGAACGTGCACAAGGGCATGAGCAGCAGAGAGAGAGAATCTTAAGCACTCCATGCCCAATGTGGGGCTTGATCTCAAGACCCTGAGATCATGACCTGAACCGAAATCAGGAGTTGGATGCTTAGCCCACTGAGCTACCCAGATGCCCCTGGAGATCTCTTTGGCTTTCTTAAGTGATTCTTGAATGGAGCAGCATTAGCTGTGGCAAGTAGAGATGCCCAGAGGAACTATACAAAACAGAAGGTTGTTCTGGGCAGGAGGGTGGTAGGGCAAGAAGTTATTAGCAAAAGAAAGGATCATTGTAGGCCAAGACATTTTCTTTTTTAGGGGAAGGGAATGGTGGGGTGTTTATCATGCAGATTACTAGAGCTGATCAGGACGTTTCAGACTGACTATTTTTTTTTTAAATTTTAAAAAGATTTTATTTATTTATTCATGAGACAGAGAGAGAGAGAGAGAGAGAGAGAGAGAGAGGCAGAGACACAGGCAGAGGGAGAAGCAGGCTCCATGCAGGGAGCCCGACGTGGGACTCGATCCCAGGTCTCCAGGATCATGCCCTGGACCGAACACTGTGCTAAACCGCTGAGTCACCCAGACTGACTATTAATTACAGGTGGAAACTGTAGTTAAATCTTGGCTTGCTGTCATGGGGGGCCAGTGACACCAATTTGCACTTGTTTTTTTTCCCCCCACTATATTACCTCAGTTTGACTTGCTGATGTTTCTGATATTATAGTTTATCTTGCTATAATCATACCAATGTTGGTTGATTCCTACTCTCTTAATTTATCTTTTATTCTTTAGCCTTACGGAATTTTGCAAATTACAAAAGTAGTATATACTTATCATACACAGTACAGAAGTGTATTAAAGAGAGTTAAGTCCCCTTGCATATGCTCTGAGGAAACCAGTGGTAAGAGCTTGGTGCACACATGTGCATCCTTCCTTGCATTTTTTTTAATGCTCAAATATTCGTTTACATGGGTTTTTCCCCTCCCTCCCTTTGTTCCTTCCTTATGTTAAAAATGGAGTTACTTAATGCTAAACCTCACCAGAACTTAGTATCTAATCTAACTGCAGCTTCCCAGCTTCTCCCAGAAATGTGA